CATTCATCTATTGTGATAGTAAACGATTAATAGGATGTTTTAATATGATGTTTGTAGCGTGTGAATGTTTTAATCTTTAACTAATCTTGGAGCTAGCAAATTTCATATGTTAAGTTCTTGGTTAGTGATAATAAATCTTCATGGGAAGTGGATTGTATCTGGGATAGGGAATAGTTACATGTGCACATAATTATTGTGGGTTAAGTTAAGATTTCTATTCTGTTAAGACTAGATTATGACATTGTAGAAATCAGAATATTCCTGTTTAGTTGTGTTAACATCTTGTTAATCCCCTCTTTGGTCTTGTAGTGCAAACATGGAAAAGAAGCATCTATGTGCTGCTCTTCTTTTATGGGCCATTACTTGCTCTGCACTTCCTGCTTCCTCTGGTGATTTGCTTAGAATTGGTTTGAAGAAGCACCGCTTGGACGTTAATAGCATAAAAGCTGCAAGAGTAGCCAAACTACAAGATAGATATGGAAAGCATGTGAATGGCATTGAAAAGAAATCGAGTGACTCAGATATCGATATAGTCCCCTTAAAGAACTACTTGGATGCCCAATACTATGGAGAGATTGGTATTGGTTCACCTCCTCAGAAATTCAAAGTTATCTTTGATACTGGGAGTTCTAACCTCTGGGTTCCATCATCGAAATGCTATTTCTCTGTAAGTTGTTGTGCTTATTGTTGTTAAGTTATTTATCCCTTCACTCGTTTATCAGAATTTATTCCTTAAATTTGAAAATGCTCACAGATTGCATGCTGGATCCACTCCAAGTACAAGGCGAGTAAATCCAGTACATATACAAGAGATGGTGATCATCACACTCCTTTTTAACTAAGAATCTTTGTTTTTATTTCATATTTATTGTTCATCAAGTTTCATTTCAAGTTGCAGTTCCGGCTTGATGTGTCTTTTTCTGATTGTATTTTGCTGCTTGTTATGATCTAGGGGAATCTTGTTCAATCCGTTATGGAACTGGATCAATCTCTGGCCATTTCAGTATGGACAATGTTCAAGTTGGTGATCTTGTAGTTAAAGATCAGGTGAATTCTTGTTTGGCAACTGGTTCTCGACATACCATGGTATGATCCTTTCTGTTTTCCAAATGATGACAATTCTACATCAATTTTTCAGGTGTTTATTGAGGCGACACGAGAACCTAGTATTACATTTATAGTTGCAAAGTTTGATGGTATACTAGGCCTTGGTTTCCAGGAAATTTCTGTTGGAAATACTACACCTGTCTGGTAGTTCTTCCTATTTTAGGCGTTTACTTCAGTTGTACCATTTATTTCTTGTTTCTTTTCTTCTCAGCTTTATGGAGTCTGCTTGTCTTACCTCTGATCTAAATGTAGGTACAATATGGTGGGGCAAGGTCTTGTTAAAGAGTCAGTCTTCTCTTTCTGGTTTAACCGTGATGCAAATGCAAAAGAGGGAGGTGAACTTGTTTTTGGTGGAGTTGATCCAAAGCACTTCAAGGGTAATCATACTTATGTTCCATTGACTCAGAAGGGCTACTGGCAGGTACTTGAACGTTTTTCCATTTCCTCTTTTCTTCTACATCTTAGCATGCTGGTTTTTTGGAGGAGGGAGAAGGTTGGTGGTGTGATCTAAAAGCAGCTCATTTGTTATGCTATCCTCCAATTATTTTCCTTTTCCTTTTCAGTTTAATATGGGAGATTTCCTTATCGGGAACACATCAACAGGTGAGTATTTCCCATCTAATCCCATGTAATCATCTACAGAATTGCTAACAGAGCGTAGATCATCACATGCAAGAAATGGAGATTTCCCTCAACTTTGTTTATCGAAAGATAAATTCTAAGTCTACTGCTTTGAGGCAGTACCTTACTGTTATCCAGTTTTCATGACTTATACACAGACATGTACCCTTTAGGCATATAAGTTATCCTTGCGCCATGGACAAAAACAAACTAAGTATCATTCTGAATGAGGTATACCATCTATCTAACACAGTTAATGAGTGTTTTAAGTTCTGGTCATGTTTTCCCATTTCAGGTTATTGTGCAGGTGGCTGTGCTGCTATTGTGGATTCTGGAACATCACTGCTTGCTGGTCCAACAGTATGTTCTGTTATCTCTAACTTACTCGAGTTGTAGACTTTTGGACTATCTCTTTATTTAAAGCAATACTTGTAACTTATGACAAATCATCTTCAGACTATCGTGACACAAATCAACCATGCCATTGGAGCAGAAGGAATAGTTAGCATGGAATGTAAAACTATTGTTTCACAGTATGGAGAGATGATCTGGGACTTACTAGTATCAGGGGTCTGTTCCCTTTCCCTCTTTTGTTTATTTCACATTTCAGTGTGCTTGCGATAAGACGTTATTGTGATCTGCAGGTAAGACCTGATCAAGTTTGTTCACAAGCAGGTTTATGCTTTGTTGATGGAGCTCAGCATGTGAGGTACAACCCCACCTTCTAATTTTAATTGCTCTTCCTATTATGATGTAGTTAAACTTGAAGTTCATGTCATTGAGGAGGCTTTAGTGTTGAGCGGATAAAAAAGTATGAACTACTTCCTGTATTTGAGAAATTACTGTTATGATTACAAATAAGCACAGGAAAATAACGAGAGCTTCCAGAGTTCTTGAAATTATTATCATGTGTGCCTCAAGTATTATCTGATTTCCACACTCTCTGTCATCTGATTTTTGAATACTCAGCATGATCTGTATTGACCTGAAAGGTAGGATTTGCTAATCCAACAGTATACAATGAGCATAAAGTTCTGAGAATGTTGGTGTATCACTTAGGCTCCAGATTAACTGTCTAGCCCTTTAATTACTATGTCAGATGTGACTCAACTAATGTACCAAATTCCTTGCAGCTCTAATATCAGAACTGTAGTTGAAAGGGAAACTGAAGGAAGTTCTGTTGGTGAAGCACCATTATGCACTGCCTGTGAGATGGCAGTTGTTTGGATGCAAAACCAGCTCAAACAAGCAGGGACAAAAGAGAAAGTGTTAGAGTATGTGAATCAGGTATAAGTCACAGCTTTACCTGATGTCCAATAAATGGTATATCAAATCGCCCTAATATTAAAGCTTTGATGTTTTACAGCTTTGTGAGAAAATACCAAGTCCAATGGGAGAATCCACAATCGACTGTAACAGCATCTCATCCATGCCAGATATTTCATTCACTATCAAAGATAAAGCTTTTGTGCTCACTCCAGAACAGGTTTCACTCCACACGTTTTTGAGTTCATGTTCTTACATTGATTACTCGAGTACATTGAAATGTACATATGTGGTATATAATCTTAATATTGCACCCCGATTTGTCATTTCACTCACTAAACAATTGGGAAAAAACTACCTATTTGCTTAAATAGTAGTTATACCCTGAATTCTGACATTATTTGCTTAAATAATAATTATACCATCAACTCTGAAGTCTGAATGACTCATGAAAAATAGGCTAAGGACAAAGTACCCGCATTCACTGAATTGCTGAAACATAAAACGTAGTCGGCGAGAGGCTGCTCCATTGTTGTATCAAATATCTATGTACTTCATTTTGGTTAGTATTCTGGAGAAGGAGGTGTTTCACTGTCTTATTTGCTATGAAATAGAAAGTCATTCCTGGAATTATATGGTAGTCAACTACTACTAATATTATGATATTTAAGCTAAAAGACATATTCTACTAATATTTTGATGTATCTGCTAGCAAGAACATGTCACTGAACCCCTGCTATAATAAAGTAGTTTGGAAACAATACCGTAACTGTTTATATCCAACGAGCTTGAATTCAGGTAAGGCTACATTAAATATTAGTCAAATAAAAAATTTGGAAATTATAAAGAGATGATTGGTAGAACAAGATTGTAAAAAGGAGAGAAACAAGAGTCTTGACTTGCAACCAACGAACAACTTCACTTTAGCAAGACAGAATGTGATCGATCAAGATCAACTGCTGCCAATGAACTTGATGTGTAACATTTGTTATGAAATAAATGCCTTTGATACACCTGATAACTAAAAACTTTGGTTGACAGTATATTCTTAAAACTGGAGAAGGGGTTGCGACAATTTGTGTCAGTGGATTTGCTGCTCTGGATGTGCCACCACCTCGCGGTCCTCTTTGGTATGTTATCCTTGCACTTACAAGCGTCAATGAGTCAATGTGGACTACATTCATACTACTACATCACTCTAAGCAAAAACAATAGAATCATGTTTCATACAAGCACAACACTTCCTATTTCGTTATCATGTAGCTAATATTATGTTGCTGCAGCCCTAAAATGATATTCATATATGTGGTTGCAGGATTCTTGGAGATGTATTCATGGGGCCGTATCACACTGTGTTTGACTATGGTAAATCCCAAGTGGGTTTTGCTGAAGCTGCATAATAGCCTTTCATGTAGTTACACGCCACAGTTACTTTGTAAAATGGGGCAAGTATTGTAAAGAGATGAATGCTACTGCTACTGCTACTGCTACTGCTATATGGTTGTGTTGTATCTGACTATAATATGGCACACTAGTCTCTTTCTTGACTACTTCAGGTGCTTCTTACTAATCCTTGTGCATGTCTAAATAATATATGCTCAGTTGCAGAAGTAATCACTTGCTCCCACTACAAGTAAAGATGCAAAATACTTATTTCAAATTCTTGCATGTGATGCAAGGAATTAGTTGATGTTTTGGAACAATTAGGCCTCGAGAGGATATGACATATTTGACACTGATGGTATCTAGTACTCCAAACGGTCTACTTGTTCGACATGCCATATTTGATATGTTTTAGAACAATTAGTCAATCCACTCTTTTCCTCCAACTTTGTTCACGTTGCCCGCACTTAGTGACAGAGTCAAAGGGCAAAAATAAATGTAAAAACACAAACTTTACCGCATAAATGTCGTGTAACATGTTTTAAACCATAGAAATAGAGTACATGGTATCTATCTATCTATCTATCTATCAAATCCCTCAGGGACAAACATCATACAGTCATGACAGCAAATAAATGCTTAAAAAGGATTACAATGTACAACTCAACATAATACACCAACAACAGAAAATGCATTCAGTTTCAGTATCTATCATTCATCAGTCTTCACCGACATCAGGCTTGTGTAGATGCACTGTTACTCCTCGTCACTTTCATTGCTGAAGACGGATGCAACAGTTACTTTTGGCTTCTTCACAGATTTGTTAACCGAGGTTGTCACCTAACAGAGAAGGGGTAGGGGGGGAAGAAGTTCAGGATTAGCTACAAATCAACCAAATCACTTCCCAGAGTACCAAAAGAATGATGAAAAGACAAATAAATTCCTTGTTTTCTTTTCCTATCCAGAAATGGACTACTTGAGTGCATTTGAAGTATGCCTATTCACATTAATAATAATTAGATGTCATCATCTTCTCCTCTTTCCGAGTAATTTTTTCTGACGGACAGCAGGAAGAGGCAACATATGCACCCCAAGACAGTTAACAAGGCCGTATATCTCACAATGTGTTCCACATAAATAAGAGGTTTGTGAATATGGAATTCCTACTTCCATATTATACTAGCATAAGTTATCTTTTCTATTAAAGTTAATCCTCACGAACAGCAATCACTATCCACTAGAAAAATCCTGTTCGAGTTGCATATAGTTCTGCAGGATGTCACAACCAACCTAGCAAGTTCACAAGGGAACTGAACAAATCAATTGAGTGCACCCTTGTTTTGCACCCGAGGTGTGGCATAGTGGGACAAGGAACACTAGGTGATTTCTTCCCATCTACCTAAGCCTTGGTGGGAAAAGTTACTGGATACCTATGCAAGAGGGAGGTAGCAAGTACCCGGTGGAATAGTCCGGGTGCGCGCAAGCTGGCCTGGACGCCACATCATAAAAAGAGAAGGAATCAATTGGGTGATCCCTAGTTACACCCGTGAATCTCACTATATATCCATGCTTTAAGCATCTTCTTTCTCTCTCAATAGTTCTAATTATCTAAGGATTAGAAGTTTCTAATATCTCCCTTGCACTGAGTTGGAAAATTAAATAAAAAAAATATAAAACGAGACCAAACATAGCTGAGATAATCGGTAATCTAACTGTAAGTACCTTTGACGAGCCTCCTTTCGCAGAAAATCCGAACTTCAAAGTCTTCCTCTGATCTTGATCTGCTAGAGCAGTTGCAGTTCTAACCATGGAAGGGGCTGGAATGTTTCCTGCTTCCTCTGGTGTTTGCTGTTCTTGCTGCTTCTTATTGGCAGCCCTAGTATCAGTAAAAAGCAAAAACAGATCATCGACAAGAAACACATACCACATTATCAGAAAATAGATGCAGAATGGCCTGAATGGAAACATCATACATTTGGGTGAATTTTGCCATCTCCCTCTCTTGACGTTGCTGCTCTCTTTTCTGCCTATCATCCCGGCTACTTCCATGCATTTCTCTCATTTCCTTGAAGCGCTATGATAGTAACAGAAGGTTAGATAGCGCTTAATGGAGGAGTGGCATGAAGGTAATAAACATTTTTTCTGGGGGATAACGATGAAGATAATATCAAAGAACTGGAAAATATTTTGAGTTTTTAAGGAAAACAATTACCTTCCTGTGATTATGATCATATGAACTTAGGTGAGCTTCAAACTCCATTGCTAATTTATATTGCTTGTTGCACAGCTCACAAAAGAAAGTCTTGCGTATTTCCTTCACGTCCGTTTCAATTTTGTGCTCGCGTTCTGCTAAAACCTGGATTTTCATAATGTGCAGGAAGCAGGCAGTAGAAGCCACCAGGTAATAAAAACTGCACGAAATTCTCAAGATCTTCCAAAGTTGGTATCCCCTTATATACCATTCCCATCAAAAGACACACACATATATGCTATATGCTGCCTTCTGTTATTAGATGTATGTTTCAGGAAAAGTAAAGTATCAAACTCAAATAGTCTGGTGCAACATATTTAATAGCTACCCTAAAAGTGTAAATGGCATACCTCCCGTTTTTTGGCAAGTTCTTCAGTCTCCTCAAGTTCAATATCAAGCTTACGTCTTTGAATATTTTCTTCTGCTGTAAAAAAATCATCTTCCTCTTGCTTTCCGATCCCCAACTTTGGGTCTCGCATCCCTGATTTTATTGGCTCAGTAATTCCTAGTCCCCAAAAGGAAGAAATTAATCAAGACTAATTAATGTGCACGAATACATTACAGCAAATGTAACCTAAAAAGGTTGAAAGAAATATTTTGAACAAGTAAACTTACCTTGCTCATTTTTCCCAAGTCCCTTCCCTTTCCAACCCATCTTCTGAAGAAGCCTGAATCCAATGTTAGAGGATGTCAACTGCGTATCTAAAGATGCTTGTTCCACATTTTCCAGGTCTACGTTTTCCGTTGGTCTATGGTTAATAGGAAGGCGAAAATCTTCAGTGAGATCCTCAAGAACAGAAGCCTCATCAGCCTATGTTTCAAAAAGTTGAGATGCAACTTTGTTAATTAAAATAGCTGAATATCAAGATTTGTCCATGTTAGTAGAACAGCACAAGTCATGGAATATAGCAGAGTTGAAATAAACCAAAATTCATAAGCATCCTTCGTTCCTTACAAATAAGTTAACTACAAAGGCACCGGTATATTTTCTTACTTCTCTCTACATAAACCAAAAAAAAAAAGAAAAAAGGAAAAGGCTTGAGCTGCATTATTATGAGTTCTCCAGATTGCAAAAGAATCTTCATACTATTAGAATCATCCTAAATGAGTTTCTAAATAAGATTGAAGAGAAAGTAATAGAAAAATCCAATAAAAGTGGAAATAAACGAGAGATCCATGATGAATGAAGGAATTAGCCAAGTCACAAAGTAAGAACAATCAGCATTCTAGCTCATACCTCTTCCATTTCTTGCTGGCGTCTATCTCTCATGCGCATATCTGGCCTACTATTGAACCATCTATCATCCATACCTATATGATATCGCTGTTCACACAGAGCAAGCAACAAAGTTACTTACCAGTGTACAAAAGAAAGAAATGTTGCACAAAAGTAAACAAAGTGAAAAAGTGGCAAAACTGAACCAAGTCTAGATTCCAGATTACCTTTCAACCATGTAATATAAGAACAATCCACGCATTCTATTAGTTAAGCTGCTTTGGTATATCATAGAATGTTTCAATGAAATCATTTTCTAGTGTAATATATAGTTGAAATAAATAATTTCCTCACACAAGTATCTCAACTCATTGCCAACTAAAACAATGATTCAGCATATAGTTTCCTGGTTAAATCATTTTCACTAGACATTTTACGACAATACTTAATCAATCGGATGGAATAGACTACAAATTAATTAAACAATCAAAATCAGCAAACAGAACATTGCATAACAAAATACTCCTGTAAATTGTAAGATCCCAATGATATACCAGAAACCGAACACGGAATTCATTTTCAACGATTCATTAGGTTCAGAGGTATGCAAAGAATCGGTACATCAGGAAAAAAAAATAGGTCTTTGTTCATATTTTCAACGTCTACGAACAGAAATCGGAGGAAAATAAAGATGAATAACGAGAAGTAATTGGTACCTGATTGAACGAATATCTGCTTCGTAGTTGAGAAGAATTAGTGTTAGCTCCACAATTGTCTGTAATTCAGGATTCAACGTTTGTTTGAGCGAAAGAGAAAGGGCAAGAATCTAGGGTTAAGGGGGCCACAGTTGCCTCACTTGTGCCTTTGAGATTTTGCCACGTTGTTCATCTCACGGGTGTAATGTTTTCGGGTCGACGACCCGATTCGACCCAAATCCAACACCCGGAAAACAATTCTTTTTTCTTTTAAAATTCTTTAATTTAATGATTCATGAATTCAAGTGTTACACCATGTAAAAAATAATAAAGGTGGTAGCTGAAATAAGTTTAAAAGGCATGTTTGGTTGGACTTATAATATACTATAACTTTTAATTTATATTTGTTTCATTTTTACTTAAAAGTGCTTAAAATTTTTTATTTTATTTTATTTAAATATTAAAAACATTTAAAATAAGTCAATTCAGACAACCTCTTGCTCTTCAATTGTTGTTTTTCTTTTTCTTGTCTTACTGTTCCGCATAAAAAATGTATAACGTTATTTGTACATCTGACATAAAGAAAGAATTAGAAGCTTTTAAATTTGATTTATATTTTAATGATATTTCAAAAGATATTTTTGAACAAAAGTATATAGTCATTATATTTATTATAAAATAATACATACATATTTTCGATTGTTATAAGAAAACGTCCACGAGTATGGAGGTATCTCTAAAGACAAGTAACTTTTACATACAATCGTATATTATAATTTATTATTAATGCGATTTCATCTAATTATATTCTGCACTAGAAATTAAAAAAAAAAAAATTAACTTTCAAGAATCAAATAAAGTGCGACATACACGACAATTGATAGTTTTAACGAGACTAATCAAAATGAAGTTGGTGGGATGCCCATCTAGAAATTGAAATTTCCAGTGAATTGCACGCAATTCATGCCAAACATGCTTATTACCATTGATATGCAAAAGGTTATACGATTCTTAAAGAAATTTATTAAATTGAAGTGCTAATTAATTAAACTAGAAAAGCTTAAAGCCAAGGTTGATGCCCAATCCTCATTATATTGTGTTGGTGGTGTGGTCCAAAAAATGGATATTTGTTTATCTACTTTTTTCTTTTGGAGTAAGATTTGTTGTAGGCTTGTAGGCTGTGGCTTATAAGGCACAACTCTAATCATTATCTACTTGTATATAATATGAAAAAGTTTCACTTTTTAAGATTGAACAAATAATTATAGATATGAACAAGACCAAATGAAACTGTATGGAAATCCCATAGAGGGATTGATGGACCCCTTCTCAAACCTTTAATCATGTAGCAACACTAATCCTTAATCTTACAAGGAAGATATGAAAATGAAAATAGCCCCTTCTCTATTACATTCAATTCATACACGATAAAACTATTTCAACAAATCCCTTCACATGTAGGCCTGATTTTGTCCATAAGTTAATTATGTGGCATTTGCTTATCAAATTATATGAAAGTGTGTATTCATCTCATTTAAAAGTTAAAACTAGATATTTTCGATCAGGGGCGGAGCTAGCTTATTGATTGTGGGTTCGACCGAATTCACTAGCTTTAACGGCTTTTGTTCGATTGAGGGGCAGAGATAGATATGAGCTGACAGCTTATGTTTTCTGGTATTTTGTTTTGGGTGAGATGTACACCGAAAGGAATTGACGCTCAAGCTTTAGCTAATAGCTCATAAACTCTATAACTTTAAAAAACTAAAATTCTGAACTCATAACCTCTAAATCTTGACTTTTCCTATGTTAAATCTCAATACTTCTTACGAATAGCTTTTCTTAAGCTCATTCATTACTAATTTAGAGTTAAGCAACTACATATCAAGCTTAACACATCCGATTAGAGAATACATGATGAAACTAGAGGATTAATTAGTTGTCATTTGAATTCTTAATCACCATATTATGAGAATGAACGCAGAGCTCCCAATACCTAACTATATAAATAATTAAAATTCAAGAATGTAGGCCATCTTTCCTTATAATTAAAGAACTAATTAATTATCGACACTTGTCACATAAAAACGAAACTCTTGTTTAACTTTTTAGGCCATCTTTTTAGCATCCTAACAAATCCCCACTTTTAACGTTTCTAACACTGACTAGTTAAAAGATTATTCTTTCTTTTTTTCTCAAGAAAAGTGAATTTAACTACATAAAAATTATAATAAAGTGATCAAGCTAAGACAGCAAGAAAACACTAGCTAATTAATTAAGTATAGAAATAACATATGAAAAGAAAGTGAAATGTAGCAAAAAAAGGGTCCGTAGTTAGAAGTACAATTAAGGGGGAATTAAGATGGTGGAAGGATAGGATATTATGATAACAATGGTTAGGGTTAAAGAAGAATCCTTAAAGCTAGACAGCTTGCAAGCAATTAACGTTTGTAAGGTTCTTAAAAATGTGTTCAAGATTTGTTCTAATTTTTTTAATAATTAAAAGTGCTAGCTCTCTACAGCCAATTATGCAATGTATGTATTCAAACATCTAAAAAGTCCCTTTTTGACTCTTTTCCCCCTCTTTACCCTTTATTTTAATTGCTAATAAATATATCATTAATTAGTTTTCTTCACTTTTCCCTTATTATAATCATACTTCTTATTTCCTCTACATTTCATATTGGCAGGTATAGATTCACATCTATCTGGAAATGATATAGCTTATCAAAATAATGTAGTATATATATATATTTATATATGTGTGTATCTACTTAGTTAGGTATATTATTGACTAGAAAACGTAATAAATAAATATATATTAATTAAGGAGGACTTTGGTAAAAATATGTAAAAAGTCGTTGAGTGTTATTGTCTTGTGAAAGTTACATTTGCTTGAATGATTGAAATAAAATTTCTTCTACCTAACACTAAAAGGTATGTTTGTCTTTAATTTAGGCACTAGTTAATTGAACCTTGGATTATAATATCAAATTAGTGTATCCTTCTTTAATTTATATTCACAGGAAAACGATTTCGACATGATTTGATTTGCTGAAGTGATTTGTATTTAGTGTCTAGAATTTTCCAAGATTTATTGCACATTTATTTTGCAGAAATTAGTAATTTGTATATATTAGTTTATTGTCAAATAAGCAACGCAGTAAAACAAACCTACTTTAGTTATCTTGACTAGTCATTCGATATAATAATATTTCTCTATGCTCAATTTTCTCTAGAATCATTATTTCATATGATATATTGCTTCTCCATAACATCATTCTATCTATAATAACAATATCATTCATTATAGCAGTACACTTCTTGTTTACTCTTCTATAATAGTCATACTCAATATTGTGTGATACTAATATTTTTTATGTATTAAAATATTTATGATGATCGTCATTAATATTATGCGTTAAAGTATAAATATCTAAATAGAATGTATTTTAAAATGATGCCATGAATAATGACCATAACTTCAAGGCCAATGGTATTGCTTTTTTACATTCATACTGCTATTATTTTGATTAAATTGGTTAACAAATACATTTCATCTTCTTGAATCTTAGTACATATAAATTATGATCAATAGATTCTTTCCTAATTATTTAAAATAATATATATAAATATCGACTTTAATTTATCACTCCATTAGAGCATTAAATAATATAATTTTATTAAAGTAAAAGTAATGGTGAAAATAATATTCAATTCTATCTTAATTATTTAAGATGATAAATTTTTTTAATTAACTATTTTAATAATCATGATAATAAATTATTTATAGTACATATCAAGTGAATATTTAACAATAAAAATATTTCCTTCATTTCTATTTAATTGTCAAATTTTCATTTGATACATCTATTAAAAAAAAAAATGATTAATATAATAAATTTATCATCAATACATGTAACAAAAGCACACTAAAAAATCATAATTTTTTCAGTCAAATAATGCCTTTTAAGTTTGAATGTATTGTTTAATCGTATACTTCCACACAAGATATTTTTTTCCGGTAGAAAACCACTCATCTAATGATTGATGACAATTTCTACTCTAAAAGCAAATTTAAATATAGCATTTATAATTGGCAAGCAAGATCCATAAAGTCATAGGAAACAGCGTAAAATGAATAAAAGATTCTTTTAAATCATTTTTCTTCTTCTTATTGTTATAAAAATACTTGGTAGAAAAAAGAACAAATCAAAAATTGGGAATTGGGAAGCAATAGTTAGGCAATATTGCAGTATGTATAAAGAAGATGCAACCTTTTAATAGGTAAAGAAGACTGAATTTGTCGGACAAGTTTGAATTCAACTTCACTGCTTACCGGTAAAAACGCCCACATAAAGCAAGAATCATTTGACAGAGGGGGGAAAATTCGATAAAGAGGGGTCGTCAATGATTTGTTTGAAAAAGAAAGTGAAATGACCTACCTGTTTAGCGATGGAATCAGAATTTTTAACTTAAGTAATACAAACAAAATGCAAAGCAAGCATACCACACTCAAGATTTATATTGTCGCGCTAGATGCTTTAGCTAAATTCAAAGAATTATTTAAATAACGGAAAAGGATAAAAAATACTCCTGAACTATAGAAAAAGATGTAAAAATACCTTTCATCCATCTTTTGGTCTAAAAATACCCTTCTACTCATTTTTTTGGTTTAAAATTACCCTTCCATCCACCTTTTTGGCTCAGTTATACCCTTGCAACTACGAATCCTCTTTTTTTTAAAAAAAAAAATACTTATAATGTGTCATTTTCTTATTGAATGAAATAAAAATCCACATACATTAATTTTTGAACAAGTTTTATTGTTGCGCTAGATGCTTTAGCTAAAACCTAATAACTTTAGTTCAAATATTATTAAAGTTAAAAATTGTTGAGTCTGTCGATGATTGGAACAGGACTATAGGTGTCTAACCATGACCCACGTACGTCTTCCCTAAATTAGGATGTATGGGTATCAAAAAAGAGAAAAAGAAAGAAACCATGGGTGGGCCCATTAAGGATGTTTGGTCAGCTTTTAGAAGCAGCGGTTCTGGTGACTTGTTCTTTTCTTCGATTAGAGTTATTTTAACAGCAAGTCTTGTAATTTCACTTCATTAAATCACCACCATCAATAAAAATGAA